GATTCAGAATGATTTGCCTCTAATTAGGCCCCACTCGTGTGCAAATCATGTAAACAGGGTGAAAGTCTCACAGCAGCTTCTCTGCCCTGGTGTCAGAAACACTGTACAGCGCGTAATGAGACAGAATCATCTGCCTGATACCGTGTAGTCACTTCCCAGCATTTGTCGACGTGTGTTTTTGTGTATATGTGTAAAGCTGAGTGTCAGGTCTATTTAACGCATCGCCTGATTGGACAATAATATATGTACAGTCCGTGAGAACAGTGTCTTTTTATTTATATCGTCCTGTGAATGACTCAATGTGAATGGACACGGAAGGATCTCTGTCTTTATCTGTGTGTGTGTGTGTGAGTGTGTGTGTATATCTGTGTACATTCAAATGCTACGGCCGCATTTACACAGTACCAGACCGATTTTTTTAAATCTGCATTTGTTCATCACGTTTTTAGTCTCGATTCATTCCAGCGTCGCTGAATGTGTATGGAAGAGAGTTTTTTTTTTTGACAAAAAAAAGAAAAAGAAAAAAAAGAAACTCAAGTGCCTCTACTTGTGTCCAGTGGGAAGTGCTCTATTTATTTAAGAACAAAGAATGACTCTAAATGATTTTCCATACCATATTGGTATAAATATGAGATTGTTTTTCGTAAAATGAAATGTTTCCATAAGCTTTTTACTGGCGTTTATGACGACAGCAGGGTTTGGCTTTAAGAAAATTTGTGTAACTCAACATGTCCAATTTGCATCAGTTGCTGTTTTGTTTTTTGAGGATACGTCTGGAATAACCGAAAAATCCAAACCATCGCATGCAATAAATTTCAGCTTCAGACCAAGAACTACTTGTGTCCATAAAAAAAAAAAAAAAAAAAAAGACTTCAAGTCTTAATGCAGAGTCATTTATGGTATGTTTGTTTTTGTTTTTTTGTGTGTTGTTTTTAAAGCAAAGCACTAATCTTAAAGAAGAACCTCAAAGAGGTTAAATATCTTTACATATATATAATTTTACTTTTGTTTATTTGGCATCTTTTTTTTTTTTGGTTTTTACATTATGCTAATGCCATGCACTTAAAGTTAGCTTGACGTAGCACAAATGCAGGAAACTGGGCGTAGCTAGCCTGGCTCTTTACTCTTAACTTTGACAGCTCGTTGCCATGGTTACGTCTTCAGAAGTCAGCTAATAAATTTGTTTTTTAAGAATCCTCAACCACAAAAGTCAAACTTTTTTGGTGGCTCACAGACAGGAGGCAACTACATCTGAAGAAAAAAAAAATATGAATGTTTTTGAACCCCCAACCCACACATTGGCCTGGAGCCTGGAGTTTGCCTGGAGTGTTTTCATTAATAATTTCTTGTTGCTTTGAGAAGGAGATGTTGCTGTAAAGTGAGCTCACATCAGTTGTAGACACACGTGATCTGGTTTGGATTGGCTCTGGAAAGTGTTGCATTCATGGATTACTCATTCATTGTGATTTCCCCCAGTTTCTTCCTGCGTTTTTCAAATGACCACAGAGGGTTGACGAGGGTTGTTTTTCTTGGCCACATGTGGCCCACGGGCCACTGTTTTATTGCATCAGTGTTAGAGCCAGGCTATCCGCTACCCCATGTTTCCTGTGTGATGTTTGGCTGCTGTTTGCTTTGTATTTTTCACCTTGTAATAAGTCTGATTAGAGTGGACACTCCGATAGTTCGTCTGACAGTTTGAAATTTTGAGCTACTCCCACAGAACTGCATTTTTATGAGGTCATAAAGCCAAATTGTCCTGAATGAGCCAATGAAATTCTTTAACAGCCAAAAAATAAAAGCCACGATCTGGTCTGTCAGACCGGGATCGTAACAAGTTAGTGTCCGCGGGGGGCGCTGCGTCCAATTCAAGGATGTTTATTGTTGTTTTTTTATAGTGAAATGGTGTACGTTTTTAATCATGTCACTGTTCATTTCACGCAGCGGTACTTATTTTTTAAAAATAAACAGAAGTGCAATATACATTATAACAAAGTAATATGCTGTGAAATGTCCGCCACCTCGCATACGTTACGTCACGGCAGCGCCACCTTCCTCCCACTGCGGTCCACGTGTGTCACGTGATGTTGGTTTATGTACACGCTCTGTATATAGTGAACCACGTGGAGACAGACTGCCTCAGCATGGCTTTTTATTCCTCTAATTAAATATCCCATTAGCTCTAATTACGCCGTTACAATTGTCAACTTGTTTATAAAAGGCAGCAGTGACTGAGTCATTGTCTGCGCCACGGAGCTCCACATACTGAGCCGTTGTAGCTGTCGACGGTGTCTGCTGACAGAGCAGCGGTCTTTTAAGTGTACATTTACTCGAGGAAATTGCCAAAACTGCCTCAGACACTGCTATACTCCATGATTTATACTTACAAGCTTTTTAAAATGCTATCGACGACTACATTTATTTGGTTTTTCTCCCCCTTTTGATTCCCTTGAGTTGTGCTGTCACTGCCGTACAAGTGTTACAAACAAACAAAACAAGTATTTGGAGTAGAGCAGCGGTCAGGGGTCTTCAACAGTTTTTTGGGCAAAGGGACCAGAGAGTACAGTATTCTGTATAGAATGAGTTTAACTTAGTGCTGTGTTAAATATTCCTTGTATTATATTGCATTCAATACTGAAACCCAGGTTCAAATATATTTATGTTTGTCTAACAAGCCACCACTGTCTAATTAACAAAAAAAGTCACGACCCTTCGACAGTACCTCCACGGACCCCCTAAGGGTGGCGGCCCCCCTGTTGGATTTGAGTATCTTGTCAGTATTCTCAGTCTCTGATGACGCATTACAGTCATAGAAGACTTTTCAAGAAACAAAATTTCTTTTCAAGAAAAAATTTAAATATGTGTCAATATAATTACCACAGAAACACAATATTTTTCCCCGTAAATTTAAATATGTGTCAATATAATTACACATATTAAGGTGTCATGGCTACGCTACGACCTTTTTATACATTTAATTACATTTATATATGTTACACCTGTGTCTTATTTCAATAGCTTAGTAGTTAATGCAAATTATATATATTTATATATACACATATATATGCATATATAAATATGTGTACATATACATACATACTGTATAAATATACATGTAGTATCAAGGTCGCTCTTGATCAGTCTGGGGGTCCTTGGCCTTAAAAACCTTGAAGACCTCGGCTCTACAGTGTATTAATGTGAAGTGAATGCCTTCAGGGAGAGTTCCATTACGCCTGTTTGCAGTGGAGCGACTCAAATTGCTATTAATTATCAGAGTACCAGAGTTAAGTCAATCAAAGAGCCGGTGTCAGTAGACAGTCTGTCTCCTTTCAGTTCAACAGTAACAAGAATCTGTTATCAAACGGCGGTTGGTTTTTAATCCACCATTCAGCTGCTTCTGTGATCCGTGTGTTGTCATCATGTCAAATGCTATCGTCTCCCTGCGAGTGTTCAAATCTGAAGGGGTTTCCAAATCAATGCCATGCAAATACGTGACGATTTTGCACTAGGATTTGTTTGCTACATTGAAACAGAAGCTCTGTGATCATTTTTATGGGGGCCACGAACCTGATCCGGTTCTGTTCAGACTTGTCTCAGAGGTCTATCATGTAGCAGTTTTCAAACGAGAGCAAATGGGGTTTGGTTTTTTTTTATTATTATTCAAATGAAGACTGTCGGTTATGAGCATGCTCTGCTGGATCCGTCTTTAGCTTCACTGGTACGACACAGCGAGGGGTTCAGACAGTGGTGATCTGCTTTTGGTGGATTCACAGCACAGCATCAAAAGACTGTTTATTTTTTTATATTGTTTATCATGTTTTGGTGGGATTTTAATTGAACCAGATGTGGGAGTTTTGAGTCATGCTGTAACACAGATGTCTGTTCATCACTGGCTCGCAGCAGCGTCACTCAGATTTCCACCAAAATGAAACCCGACCACACGTCTGTCCGACATGATTTGCGTTGTGTTCTTAACGGTGTCGCACAACTTCAGCCATTTTCCGTTTTTATCCGTGCTCTCTCTTTTTGCCTTTTCTATTGTTCTTTTTATAATGAAGTTGTTCTATGTGATGATCAGAAGTTGTGATGCAGTTTCACTGATTTTAAATATTTAATGTCTGGATTAAAGTCTGTTTGAAACAGTCGGCCTGCACTCACTAGTCTTATTCCTGTGAAATATGTGTTGATATGACGAATAATTACTCATTTAAGGCACTAATGTGTTTTCTACATTTCAAACATGAATTTTCATAACAACTAGAATCCGATAATAATTGGTGTCATAATTAGTCCAGGAAACTAATTTCTCTTCTCCAGCCTCATCTTTTTCAGGGTCACAGCGGGAGCTGGAGCCAATCCCAACTGTCACCAGGTGAGGGCGGGGTTACACCCTGATTAGTTTTTCACTCCCTCACAGGAGCACACACAAACGGAACCTTGTAAAAATAAATTGAATCACTGACCACCTGGGATTGAACTGCTGATCTTCTTGCTGTAATGCATGAACACTAACCACCCATCCACTGTGTTAAAGCGTAGTTAAAGAAACTACAGATGTACAAAAACATTAATGTTTAATTTATAGTTAATAATTGTAATTATTTTTCTTATTACTGTTATAAATATTTAAGTTGTAAAAAAATATGAATATATGCAAATCCCGACATATTTTATTCACTCAGGGAGTTAGTGGAATATAATAGTATTGCAATAATAAGTGTTTATTCGCCTCAAAGGGAATTAGGAGTGAGATTCTACAACTGCTGCAGAATCCGTGTAAACAAACACCGACTTGTAAAGGTGTGAACAAACACATGGTACTGTTTTCTAATATCACTAGCTGTTTAGAGTCATTTTATATCATAATAAGATATATTTTTTACACATTTGAAATGAAATATTTCCCTTAAACATTTAAGCAAATATTTAGAAACGGTGTAAATATTTTTGTGTAATTTTCCACACGTTATTTCCTTGTCAATGTACACAGCTTAAATCTTTTAAATTAAGATAAACGTGAAAACAACGTACAGTATGTGTCTTCCGGCAGACAGTGATGTTAATGAATCCAAATTTGAAAATATATATTTGTCAAACAATGTGACTTTAATTAACATACTCCAGAATTGAGTGAGAACGCACTTTACTTCCGTCTTTTCAAATCACAGGTTTCCTTCAACACCTACCAGCAAAGAGCTGATTACAGCTATTCAACTTAATTAAAGGCAACTCGCTCGCTAAATGAATTCCCTCTGTCTGTCCCCGCACGGTGGCAGTTTTAATAGATTGCCCCTCCTTTCGTGCTTTGCCACGTCTAAAAGTGATTTTGTTCGAACGCAGAGGTTCCTCCCAATCTCTGCGGTTCACAGTTCCACCGGCACTAACCAGAGGAGTGTTCGTCAGCTCTAATTGAATGGCTCCTGATTAAAACTGCGTTCACGCTGACAGCCAACATATGACGTCACATCCTGTCCAACTTCTAATTGTGTGTTTCCTCCGTGCTCGGCATGTTCTTGAAATGCAGACCACGGCGCCGCAGATCACCGCAGACAGCCGGGCGGAGTAAACATGTTTTTTTTTTCAAATCAAATTAAAAACAAAACATAATCACAAGTTGAACATAAACAGTTGTCATTTCGTCGCACTTTAACCACACGATTCAGCAAATAAATTATATTGTACGTTGTATTATAGAGACCTACCGCTCTTTTTCTTTGTACACATATTCAGAAGCAAAACATACAGTAAATGGTTCTTAGTTACTTATACAAAGCCCTCCGACTGTAGTTCTGTTGAATACAGCGAGTGTACAGTAAGCCGTTTATAGTAAACACAAAAGTACGCTGAGAGTGAGCGCTAAAGAGCTGAAAATATGTTAAGTCCTTGGGAGGCGGCGGGAAGCAGCACAGTTTGTTTACTATTCCTGCATTAATTCACACACAAGGGGGAAACAAAATCAACTTTCACCGCAGCTGAGCTAAGCAGTATTTTTTTATATATATAAATATGTAAACATACACACATCTTTATGTGATGTAATAGTGTACACACGGCATTGACAGCGTTAGTAGTAACTACTGGCATCAGATTAGACCAAATGGGCCCTGGGTCATTGGCCACAGTTAAAATATAACATGATATATTTTAATTTTATTTATTCGAGGTGTAGAAAACTGTCGATACATGTCAAGATAGTTGCCTTAACGATACATGAGTAGACAAAAGATTGGTCTTTGGTTTCCAAAATAATAATATCGATGGAGAGCAATATTAAAATAATGGCTCCACATTGTTATTGCAGATAATGTAAGTGAAATTTAGGAACAACTTCAGGCAAAATCAGAAATTACGGTTGATTTATAAAATAATTTGGCCAGAAATACGTTACGTTTGAGCTTTTATTTTGTAAAGAAAAAGTCGCCTTGGTTTTCTCGCGAGAGTTAGCAGCTGAACGGGTTTCTCGCGACAGGTGTTTCTCATGTTCCAGTGACGTCTTGGATAATACCTCGAGCGTAATGGTGAGTTTTACCTTAATTTTATTTATTTATTTATACATATATATATATTTATCTTTATACCGCTCGTGGTATTTTCGTTTGGTCTTGTAATTTCGACCGGTCCACAGCAATATTGTGTTACAGGTAACCGGCCCGTTTCGAAACAACGGCGGGCGACTTCCGTCGGTGCCTTAATGTGTTTACCTTTAGCTTTAGCATTAGCATTGAATCCAAATTTAAATAAAAGTGTAATAGTGGGTTGAAGTCCTAATTGGAGTTAGAGCAGGTACTATAAGAAACAAAGTCAAATTTCTTTACCATTTTTAAAACTTTAAAATAAAACTTACTTACAAACTGAGTCATTAGAGAGAGAAAAAAACGCCATCGTTATTATGTATTCAGCTCCATTTTGCACGTTAATTAAATATTGACGAAGTAAGATTTTTACTAGTCCCGTCAAAGATAACTTGTTGACATTAATTTGAAATATCTAACACATTTCTGAAATAAATCAAATTAACACCGCTGCACTTTGTTTACTTCCTGTGGCAGTTCACCTTTAACCACCACCACCACCAAGCACCGGAATATTGAAGAAGGCGCTGTGCTGCTTCACACCGACCGTGGCTGAAGATCAATGCGAGCACTGATGGAATTTCAGGTTGAAAATCTCTCTTAAAGTAGACGACACACCGTTGCTTTAAAACTGCACTTAATGTTTTCTAAAAACAGAACATAGGTTAATAGCAATTTTTTTAACTTTACTGTAGTGTGCCGTCAGTGTTAGTATTAGTATAAATTTACAAATTAGTATTAGTATAGAATAATTCCCATTCCCACACAATACTTTGTGGATTCATACTCAGATTAGTGATTGTTGAGTGAAGTCTACATTCTTCCAGTGCTGAGGAGCTTTTTGTTTTATTCCATTCCAAGGTAGAGAAATAACAGTGAGCACAAAGAGAACGTAGAATATTCTGGTAGTGTCCCTGAGGAGTCCACTCTCCGCTTTTCATCATGTGTGCAAGAAAAAAAACAGAAGCAAAGTGAAATAAGCAAATTATACACAAGACTAGGTTTTGCCAGAGGTTTGGAGTATAATTGTGTGAAATAATTCACCGGCGCAGACTACTGTGTACAAAAATATTTTATTTTCCTTTTTGCCAACAAATGATAATTGACAAAAATATTTGAAAGTGCAATTGCCAAGGTCAGTTTTTTTTTTTTGCTTTCTTTTTCCCAGCAACAATATTTTATTTCATCCCCTCAGGAAGATGAAGCTGAGGCTAAAGGTTACTTCAACATGATGAAGAAAGAAAACAAAAATAAATAAATACAATTTTATGACATTTCCTAGTCAAACGTTCACAAACTCCAACCTGATGGGAAACCAGTTAGAATTAGTCACATTTAACTCAATCTACAATATTTTTCTTTTCTGCCCACTGTTATGATTTAATGACATCCCATTAACCTGAGGACAGTGTGGCCTGGGATCAAAGCTGTCAAACTAAATTCCCTTTGATTCGTCTCTGTACCTGAAATTCAGGCAGAAATTGCTTTCTTCTAAATCACGCTGGCACAAAATTAATAATAAATTATTATGAGGACAAATACAGCAGGTTCATGCGCTAAATTATTATGAGGACAAATACAGCAGTTGGACAGAAAAGGCAAAAATGACAAATATGTTGGAGAAAAAGTCCAAGTTCTCATCATTTCCCTTAACTAGTGGCTTCTCTTCAGTCTTATTAAGGATCAAGGTACCCCCTCCCCCCGCCCTTATCCTGACATTTGATAACAATGTTGTAGTTTGGACCAATCACCACGCCGTCCTTCTGTTCACTTTCATCCCTGCTGTGAGGTAGAGGAGCTGCAGCTTCATCCTCATCTGCAGTGGCACGGTCTGATGAAGTGGAAACAGAAGGAAACAAGCGAGTCAATAAATAAAGACACGAGCAAACAGGTAGACAGTCCTTCAGGAGAACACATTTTAACTTGCCCGAGGCAGTCCTGCCGTTTTCCTTAGTAACCCACTGTGATCCAAGTCACTGTAGACGTTCCTGTCCTCCCCGGGGTCGTCAGCCAACATGTACAACTCTCCAGCGTGGACATCGGTCACGTTCACCTGTTAGGAGACGCAGTCACACTTTAAAAATTTTGTCCGTTACTGCTGAGGAAAATCTGTCATAATTCCGCAGAAAAGAGAAACCCGTCTACGAATTAGAACCACGTGAGACGAGAAGAACCTCATGGTGTGCACGACACACTGACCTGAAAGGTTTTAGGATTAAATCCCAGCCACAAAGTGTATCTATAATCCCAAGAGCGTAGAGAGTAGCCCATGATCTTGATGTCTTCAAGGTCAGGTTGGTCAGAGTTCTCCTGTCAAAAAAAAAAAAGACTTTAAACTTAAACTAAAAATAATAATTAAAAAAAACCATTAATCACAAAAGATCCACAGCGATCCTGTTTTTAATTTGGCATTTGACATCCCTACTTTTAATCCCAATATGTTTAATTTGGTGGAAATATATTCCTGGTGTGGCAACATCTGCATCTGCCAACTCCTCCTGTGCAACGGCCGATGGACTGATGTGCACCTGCCAAATAAGTGACTTGCGAAGGTTTAACCTACAGCAGGTGCATCACACTTGAAATAAAATGTGTGTTAATGAAAACAGCAGCTCTGGTTCTAAATCTAAAGATCACTTTTCTTTACATCCTGGTCTTCACCATTGTAAAATACAAATGTTGTTTGACATGAGATTCTCATACAGTACCTGTGGTGTGTCAGCAGGTCGGGGGTACTGGCTGAACGATATCGCCTCCGCTTCCACCCCTCGTTCCCTGTGACGAAAAGTGTAGGCCAGGTTATCTCCGTCTGTGCACAGCTCCTCCTGAAGGCAAGTGGAAATATGTCACAGTCAATTAGCTCATATTAATGCAGGAGATGTGACAGCTTAACAGAAATTATTCATCCATCTTCTTTAAACTTAATTAATTCTTTTTAGGGTTGGGGGAGGAGGGGTCATCAGGTGAAGGTAATTAGTTTGTAAACTGTGAATATTTTATTAAAAACATTTTTAGTAGTCAAATACATGAATTAAAATCATGTTATAGAACTTGAAAAGAATACCTGTAAAGAAACGTCAGGACATGGTTCAGGTGCTGGGAGACCGGCCATGTACGAGAGAGTGGGAAAGACATCCACCAGCTCCACTACGTTCCTCCTCACTTTGGCATCTGGGAGACAGTGACGTCAGCCAATTAGAGAAAGATGCTGACAGCAAATTAGTCCAGACATCCACTAAATTCTACCAGACGCTGCGCTGGAATTTCATCATCGTCATTTGCATTTGAGGAAATTTGGTCTGGAGGCAAATTATCAAAGGGTTTCCTCCTTTAAATATTTTTTGAATCTTTGCATGCACATCAAAGACTTTCTGTAAGTTGGGGTTATTTAACAGGCAACAGGAAGATTCAGTCGAACAGTTGTGATGTCTTAAAAAAAAAATCTTACTTTTAAAACTGTAGTCTGAATGCGTCAAGATGTCAATCAAAGGAAAGGTGGATTCTCTGAATCCCTCACGGTGGGCAGTGATGCCAGGAACATAAAAGATGAGAGGGACCTGAGTGGCCACGTCAAAATTAGAGTATTTAGCCCATTCACCATGTTCACCCAAAGACCAACCTACAAAAAATGGGAGAAAAAAAAAGTGTATCATAACAAAAGGTAACAAAAGGTTTAAGGAGCTGCACACACCAAACTGCTTCTTTTTTTGTCAACCTGAGAAATGTTTTTAGGGAGAGGTTTAATTTCAAAAATCCTAAAAAGGTGATAAAAATACTGTTACAACACTGCCATCTGGTGGTGGAGCAGAAGGACAGGGAGCGTAGTTGTCTTTTTACCAATTCATATATGTATGTGTACATATATATGAATTACTCTCAAATTTACATTATATATATATAAAATTGTAAATTTTAGAGTAATTCAGAACCAGGTTGAATGATTATTAAAAGACCTCAGGTCTGTTCATCTATTCTGGGGTATTTGACTTTGTACCCGATGTCTACTAACCATGGTCTGAGGTGAACACCACCACAGTGTTGTCAGCCAGCCCAAGCTGATCCAGAGTAGTGAGCAGACGTCCAACCTGAGCGTCCACATAAGAGACAGCAGCGTAATAGTGCTGACGTATACGCAGCTGGAAGACACAGATGTGGAACACTCTCAATGAAGTGACAGGAACTGTTAAAACGTGACACTTGTTCCATTAACAGCAGCTGCTTTATACCTGGAAGTCTTTGGGAATCGGTCCATAAGGAAAACTGATGTTCAACTTTTGGACGTCTTCTCTCCGCCTAACATCTGTCCATGGGTTGTAGGCCACGGGAGGAAGGGATTTGGGGACATTGGGGTCAGGGGCCAGGGTCATGTTTTCTAATGGATAGAGGCTCAGGTACTCCTGTGGGCCAGATAAAAAGACAACCGTTCACACTCGTATTCACACCTGTGGTCAACTTAGAGTGAACACCTGACCTAATGCTGCGTCCAAACTTTATACAGGATTCAAACCAGTAACACGTTAATCGTCTCGCTGCAGGGCAACGGCATGAGCCACTGTTCTCAAATGACAGGTTTGATAGTAGAAAATTAATTTCCCCGTGTACAGATCATCGCTGACGGCTCTGATTTGATTTATTTCTGTCATTACAGATGTGACAAGCGCTTTGTTCTCTGGGTGTGTTCACGTGACACGTGGCCAACGACATGTTCCATACATCACAGGTCAGTAGAGAAGAGCAGACGGGGGGGCCCTTTTCCACACTTTTCATTTCTCAGCCGACACCCCTGACATCCATCGCCGCTCCATCACTCTCCGCTCTAATTCAAACTCCACTACATCACCATCTCCTCCACCTTCATGCTGAGATGCATCTCCTCTAAATCCACATCACTTTTCATTTCATTCACTTCAGACAGACAGTGAGTGCATCTCAATCTCAACCTTCACTGGATTTTTTTTTTTTCGTCGTGCATCGTCGAACCAATCGCAGCGCGTGCTGCCGATGCTGTGGGGCGCGGGGG